GCTCGGCCAGCGCCAGCTCGGCGCCGTCTTCCTCGATGTCCATGTCGTCGATCTCCGCGAGGAGGGCCGCCACATCCTCTTCCTCGAGCTCGTCTGACTCGTCGGCCCCCTCATCGTAGTAGTCCTCTTCGTCTTCGACCACCTGGTAGTTGGCATCCTCCGACCTACCTTCACACCGACCGAGGTTAGGAGGGGAGGGGGAAGACTGAAAAGCATCGACATCCGAGCGAGCACCTGGCCCTGTGTCCTCGGACGCTGCCGCCGGCATGCTGCCTGCTCTGGCTTTGCCGGGAAGCAAGCGCTCGGTGCCGGCTGACGAGTCAAGCTGGTGCAGGGCCCACTTCACGCAGCTGTAGGTCAGATCTCCTGGAGCGAGCGTGCGCAGATTCTGCACGCCCTGCTGGGTGAGGTTGGCCCCCTCCTCTAGGAAGAGACCCTTGAACTTATCGGACATCCATAGGTCGTGGCCCTCCGCGTCGGTGAACTCTGCCTCTCGACGACTGACGCACTGCGTGAGCGTCTCCTTGGAGTCGCGGACGGCCTCATACAGCGCCTTTCGTCCTGCTCGTCGTAGCTCATCTCCCTCGCGTTCTCCGATCATCAGGTCCATGCGGCTGAGGAGCGTCTGCAGCAACGACGATGCAGTGAGCTCCTTGTCCGGGATGTCCTCGAACTTGGCCTGCATCGTCCAGTCGAAGGGTCGCATGAACTTCTCCGACCGTCTCCAGACCGCCACATCAGTGTTGTCGTTCCAGCGCCGGATGGCCCGGCGCCATTGTCTGTAGTGGGCCCAGCCTGGCCACGCCGGAGGGTCGGAGAAGTCACCTCGACCTCCGGTCCACTGGCCGGGCCACCAGCTGCTGTTCCAGCCTGAGCTCCAGTCCTGGTGCTCGTCCCACTTCTGGTCCTCCCTTGTCGCCAGGTGAGCGCCACCGTCCTGAATCTCCTGCTGCTTCTCCGTTGCTCACCTCGGCTGCTCGTCCGTGTCTGCTGCTGCTCCACGGGTCGGCGCCGGTGCCGTCCCATGGGTCGGCCGCCGTCGAGGGTATCTCCTGCGGCGGCCGCTGCTGCTGCTGGCCAAAATGGCCGAGCGCCCGCACCGTCTCCTGGACGGCGGACTGGATTGCCCGAGTGAGCGTGTCCTGATCGATCGTCGCCGCCATGGCCGTAGAGCCTGATGCTGCTGCCCCTGGAGTCGACCCCTCGGCTCCTCGGGCTGTCATGACAGCGAAGGCCTCTTCTCGTCCGTCGCCTCCTGGAGCGACTGGCGGTGGTTGCTGCTCACCATCCGCGGGCATCTCTCTGCCGTGGATTCCACGCTGCTCAGTGGTCAAAGCGAAGCCTGGCTCCAGGGCGCGCGAGCGCGGGGCGGCCTGGCCGTCACAGCCAGCCTCTCGCACCCATGGCCGCCGGGCCGGACCCCGCTCCGCTACCAACTGTGGCAGCAGGAGAGGGGACATAATGTTTTGCCTTGAGCCACATGTGGCACGGACGTACACAAGATGGATCTCTATCCATCAGTCCCCGGGGTGAAACACCAAAAGCTAAACCTATACGTGAGGTAATGGACCCCTGGAACAAGTTCTGTTTCTTGCTGCTTACTGTCTGCTTCTTGCTGCTTACTGTTCCTTGTTGATGGACCGCGCGAGGGGGGATCCCCCAAACTGCCATTTTTACTACGCCCTGAGCGTATGCTCTGTATTGCTGGGGTGGTAAATATTGGCACCCCTCACGCAGGTCGGCGGGGTCAGGGTCCAAAAACAAATTGGACCTGCCACATTTCTGACATTCGGTGGCACCCTTCACGCAGATCGGCGGGGTCAGGATGCAAAAACACAAAGGATTTGCCACATTTCTGACATCCAGTGGCACCCCTCACGCAGATCGGAGGGGTCAGGATCCAAAAACACAAAGGATTTGCCACATTTCTGACATTCGGTGGCACCCCTCACGCAGATCGGCAGGGTCAGGGTCAACAGACACACGGGTTTTGCCACATTTCTGAAATTCGGCGGCACCCCTCACGCAGATCGGCAGGGTCAGAGTCCAAAAACACACGGGATTTGCTACATGTCTGATCCCCGGCAGCACCCCTCAGGCAGATCCGTAGGGTCAGTGTCCAAAAACAAAAGGGGATTTGCCAAATTTCTGAAATTCGGTGGCACCCGTGACGCAGATCGGCGGGGTCAGGGTCGAAACACAGACAGGTCCCGACACTGCTTCACGGCGGCGCCCAGATCTCATGATTTAGCTATTGCATTCCCATTATCCGAGACAGGGGGAGGCGGCATGTGGCGAAGCCCTTACGGATCATCATCATTATCAACATCATCACCAGTATCATCATCACTCAATATCAGCATCCTCATCATCAAAATAATCATCATCATCATCAGCAGCAGCATCATCATCAGCGTCAGCATCAACATCATCAGCATCAGCATCATCAGCATCAGCATCATCATCATCATCATCATCATCATCATCGTCACCAGCATATCAGCAGCAGCATCATCACGATCACCATCATCCCACTCATCCTTCTTCTCCTCCATCCCCCTTGCCCTCCCCCATCCCGCCCGAATAACGTCATCCATCATACACCTCGCTCTCCACTTCCATTCTCCTCCTCGTCCTCCTCGTTCTGCTGCTCCTCCTCCTCCTCCTCCTCCTCCTCCTGCTGCTGCCGCGACCCCAGCACCCGTCCACCTTTAGGACGGGTGTCCACTGGCGTCAGGCGTGTGGGGATAACCCCAGGAAGCATTTAAGAACCCCCCCGGCGATATCTTAGCACCGCATTTTTCTTCGATATTCCGAGGGGCCGAAATAACCGCACGATAGGTTTAGCACCCGGACACACAACAAATTCGCGGAGGCCTGGCCCCTGGGCTACAATCGAAATTCGAAATTCAAATCTGCGTGGCTCTCATGAAAGACTCAGGATGTCGCTTGCTGCTTGGAAAATTCATGCAATGATAATAGTATTAATATTCGCAAGCATATTTGATGACTCCTAACGACTTGAATGGATCCATCAGATATCAGGAGGAGGAGGAGGGCTCCTGGTGCCAGGTAACGCTTCCAGGGTGCGGAAGGGTTATCGATTTGCCGGAAGGGGGGGGGGGGTTCTTAAATGCTTCCTGGGGTTAGTCCATGCGCGCCAGGCCGAGCAAATTAACCAGTGCTCTCAAAAACCCTCATTCCACGGGTGTGTGTCCATCAAATTTTTTTTTCGGGCGCCCGGGCGGGGGGCGACAGCCCGCCTGGACGCCGGCGACAGGACACACACCCCGAAAGAAAACGACCCGGGGGAGGGAGGAGGGAGGAGGGGGCAGGAGGGAACCGGAAGGCGGAGGAGACGGACCTCCTCCTCCTCCTCCTCCTCCTCCTCCCCCTCCTCCCCCTCCTTCCGCCCCTCATCCTCCTCCTCCTCAACATGTCCCATCTTGTTCTGCGCCCACCGTCCTCGTGATTTCCCTTTCCTCTTTCGCCTCCTCCTCCTCCTCCTCCGCGCTCCTCCTCCTCCTCCCCCACCTTCCTTCCTCCTCGTCCTTCTCATCCCCCTTTTCCGCAAGAGTCCAAATAATGAGAAGAGATAGGCGAATGCCACTTTCACGTAAATGTGCCGCCACCAAAGTTGAACCTGTCTAAGAGTTTCGCGTGTTACACGCAGTCAGCATTCATCCTCCATCTCCTCCTGTTCATCTCCTCCTGCTCCATACTTACCATCTTTCGTGTGGGCCGAAGAGTGGCGCTGGGAAGGAGAGGTTAGCTCATCACGGCCCGAAGCACGTGCGCGGACGAGGCGGGGACAGGGACGTACTGAAAGAAAGTGAGGGGGCTAGTAAGTCTTGGAGTATTCATGGCCCGGGCCATGATATCCAAGCCCGCTACTCAGTGGCCAATATAATCACCGTGACACCACGGGGAAGGCTGAATCAGGAACCAAGGAGCTTTCACGACCACGGCGGGCCTCGGCCAGGAAACAGGCTCCCCGACGTAAATTCTGGGAGCCGCCCGAAAACCAAAGCCCCGTCCTGAGCCCAAAGTGGTCCTTACTTGGATGACCGCAGAGCTTGCTAAGTGGACAGGAGGGTTACGAGCGGATGCCAAGGTGGTTATATCTTAGAAGTGGGTTACGGATGCCCCGAATGGCTTAGGGAATTTAGATAACTCCTGGATGGAACCCATTTAGCCCAGACCGCTGACCCCACTAAACCACTTGGGGCCTTTGTAATCCACTTTTAGTCCAGGTTGGGCTAGATATCACCACCTTGGCATCCGATTGCAGCCCCCCTATCCCCTTAGCAAGCCCCGCGGTCATCCCAACACTCTGGCGCCTTGACAGTCCTCCCCGCGTCGCCGCCGCCCCAGACCCTTCCTGGGCAATGCCCAGGGGGGTCTCCACGAAGGGGGCCACCAACTCCTGCAGGAAGACGCCCGACAACGTCCAAAACACGGTCGGCCTTCGACCCTCCCTCTGGTGTGCTTTTACAGCCCGCGGCCCGACCGAGAACTCCCGACCCTCTCTTCGGGGGTAGTTTTTCGTCCCGCATCCATGCTCGATAGCGCTGGGGCCCGACAGAAAGGCCCCGGAAGCCGAGGCCAAGGAAGAAGAACCGGATTGGAACAAGCAGATCGTCGGAAATCTGGGCCGACCCTCGATTTCCAGGAGGCGGTGGTGAACTCCCATTGGCAGGATCAGTCAGCATCGAATCGGGAAATCCGATCGGATCGGACTGTGCATCGAATCGAGCCGCACGGGCACGGAGTCGGAATCGAATCGGATCGGCGGCGCCAGAATGCACGTCACCGCCATGCAAGCATCGGGCCGCATCGGATCGTCGGAATATCGGGAGGATGCGGATCGGATCGGGCCCGCCACAATCGACTTCAAATCGGATCGATCGGATCGATTTGCACCCTGAGTGGCGACACCCCTGCGCACTCCCCGGCATCCCTGGGCGGCGATGGCGGCGACGGGCCGGGCGCAGGCGCTCCTCCTCCGGAGGGGCCGGTGAGCCCAGAGAGCAGCCCCCGGCACCAGCGCTCGGGCCCACGGCGGAGGCCGAGCCACGGCCTTGATCCTCTTGCCATCCTCCTCCTCCTCCTCCTCCTCCCCCTCCTCCTCCTCATCCTCCTCCTCATCATCCTCCTCCTCCTCCACCGCCCTCTCCTCTTCCTCCTCGTCCTCCTTCTCCTCCTCCTCCTCCACCTCCTGCTCCGCCTCCTCCTCCTTCTCCTATTCCTCCTCCGATGATTAGAAATAGTATGATGTGTATTACTTGTCTTCGTTTACTTATTATTTATATTAGTCCTCTTTAGTGGCCAAGGAGGTGCTCGATGTCGCGGCCGGTGGCCCGCGGCCGCCGCCGCAACATGAAACCGATCCTGAGGCGCAGCTTCCAGAAGCGGCGTGGCGCCAGGGTCGCCCGCGCAGGGCGGCCCTCCAGCTGCCCGCCCGGCATCATCATGGCCTCCGCGGCGTCGGACTCGTCGTGCACGGCCGGACCAGCCGCTTTTAGCGTCTGGGACGCGAGCCGCCTCACGCGCGTGACCTCCTCGCGGTCTGCCCCCGCCACCAGCGCGCTGTCGACGTGGAGGGGGTGGACGGGCTCGGAGAGCAGCGAGGGGGGCGGCTCGAAGTCCACGGCGCGCAGCTCGGGCCTCAAGGCACGGCGCTGGTCCAGCGCGCGCTCGCGGGCCCGCTGCACAAAGTAGAGTGCCCAGTTCCAACCCATGGGCGCCACGGCCAACTGAGGATACAGTCGCGTCCACGGCGCCACGCGGCGGCCGTCGAGCTTGCTGACCCCTAACTCGCCAGCGGCCACCGCGGGCAGGCAGAAGAGCGAACGCAGGTAGGCGGACAGCTTGCGCCGGTAGAAGGCGTTCCGCACGTCGACCCCCGCGAAGTAGAGCGAGGTCCCAGGCGGCAACTCAAGATCCGCGAAGCCCGCGGCCGAGAAGAGGCTCGCGGGCGGAGAAGGCTGAAACCGTTGGTTGCTCCTCCTGCAGCCCAAAACCATTCTGATGCGGGAGTCCTTCTTGGCGACGAAGAACACCCCCGCGTCCTCGACCCGAGTCTTACCAGGCACGAAGACGCCTCTGGAGATCCCCGACTTCACAAACTCTATGTACAGCGTGCGGTCCTTCTCCAGCACAGGGCCCATGTATAACGTAGGCCTCCCGTCCTCCTCCACGACTGCGCCAAAACTCTGGGGCGGCAGCCGCAAGGCGTGGTCGAGGTCAAGGAGTGAGCATCGATCGCGAGGCCCGAGGCGGTCAGCGAGCCAGCCAGGCTCGTTCCCCAGGTTGGGCCAGCTCACGAGGTGTGGTGCATATGACCTCAGCGGTAAGTCGTTGGACGTGTCATAGTGTAGACACGGGCGGCCCAAAAGCTCTGAGCAGGCTTCCTGGGCCGGCGCGCCAGCGGGCGCCTCCATCTGACGGTAGAGGCCGCGAACGCGTCGAATAAGAAGGTTGTCCATGTCCGAGAGGCGCTCTGGCGTGCGCTGCGGTGTGGCGCAGCCCCCAAGCAGGTTGAGGCGCTCCACGGTGTCCCGAGTACGCTCCTCTATGACTTGAATACCGCGCATGCGTGCCCGAACCGAACGGGAAAGTCCAGGCGGAGGTGGGAGAGCAACTGGCGCAGCAGGTACCTTCAAGGGCAGCATCCCGTCGCCGAGAGGTGGGCCATCACCAGGCCGACAAAACTGGCTCTCGAGAAACGGCGGTCGGGTCGAGCGACCTCCCGACCGCTGCCCCCCAGTCACCCCTGTCCCTTCTTGCCGGAGGAGGCGCTCTTCTCACCGCGCGCCTTCCTCCGCTGCTTCTGGATCTCGGTCTCCCTCATGAGCTGCTCGGCCGTGCACTTGGCGAGGCCGTGGGAGACTGCCACGCAGTGGCAAGCACCCAGCTTCGAGCGGCCGATGTAGTGCTTGACCCCCCCCCCATCATCATGATGCCCATCGTCTCCCCCGCCAGCTGGTAGGTACGCGCCCCACCAACTTCATGCAGGCCAGATTCGAGCCGTCGGCCCAGCCATACGTCTGCGCGAGCTCAACGGAGAGCCCCAGGAGGTCGGGGAGACGGGCGGCCGCCGAGTCTGTCGTGCAGCTGTTCTCGCTCATCCACTTGGTCTGGCGGCCGTCGGGACTGCCGCCATGCTCGATGATGTACTCGCACCGCACAGCCGCTGGTAACTGCGCTCGCCCGACAGCGGGAAGTCGTCTAAGGTCTCCTGATGTGCCTGTCTCACCGACTCGCGGAGGTCTCGGTGCCGCCGACCGCCCCGCGTGTGCGTCAAAGGACCCAGCAGGCGGGCGTCGTCATCTTCTCCGCCAGTGGCACGCGCGATAGAAGAGGTCGGCACCAACTCCATGGGCACGGTGACGCCTGCCGAGGCCGAGAGGCCATGAAGGGCAATCTCGCCCCACAGCACATCTCCGACACAAGGTGTGATCTCGTCATCCGTCTGGGTCACGCCCGTCACTGACTGCGCCGAGACCCATCTCATGCCCACCGACGGTACCAGGCGGTGGTAGGAGCCAGGAACGTCCCCGAAGCTGGCCGTCGTTTTGCAGCCCAGCATCTCGGCGTCCTGCATGTAGTACAGTGGCTCCGAGGCGGCAGTATCTGCATCCCTGGCGGCGCGCCTGGCAGTGCCCTCCAGCCGCAGCAGCTCCGCCTCCGATGGGAAGACACCGAGGCGGTACACCCGTCCCGCGGGCCGCTGGCGAACTGGTGTGTCGTTGGACGTCAGCGACGCCATGTCAGGTCCATCGTCGTCGGCTCCGCTGTCGAGCTCCTCCTCGCAGACGTCACCGTCTGGCATCAGCACGCCCGTGAGCGGTAAACCGATGGTGTGCACGTTTAACGAGCCCGCGCCCGCGCTGAGACGGACTTGCTCCTCCTGCAGCTGCTGCACGCGGCCCGCGGGCGCCCCCACCTCCCCGTAGAGCCGAGCGAGGTCCGCCAGGCAACCCGAGAGATGGCGAGCGCGGGCGAGCACCCGCTCCGCCTCGCGCGCCGCTGCCTCTGCCACCGACGCGGAGGTCGGCTGTCCAGGAGGGTCCCCGCTGCCGCCGCGGCACACGAGCCCAGGCCACCAGGCGTCCAGGACGCAGAGGGCACCACTGGCGGCCCACGCGGGAACTGCGGGAACTCGGGGACCGCTGATCCGCATAGAAGAGTACAGGTGCTCCCTGAAGGTAAAAGGCTTGAGCGAACCCCCTACACGTTCGCAGGACAAGTCTCATCATCATCAGCATCAGCATCAGCATCAGCATCAGCATCAGCATCAGCATCAGCATCAGCATCAGCATCAGCATCAGCATCAGCATCAGCATCATCATCATCATCATCATCATCATCATCATCATCATCATCATCATCATCATGAGCATCAGCATCATCATCATCATCATCAGCATCATCATCATCATCATCATCATCATCATCATCAGCATCATCATCATCATCCACCCCCTCCTCCACCCCCTCCTTCCCCAGGCAACGGGTGTCCCCCTTGGAAAGCTCTCCTAAACACGGGGACGGTTCAAAGGCGGCCCGCTCGCGGACCTGGCAGTTTGCTCAGATATCCTCGTCCCCCCTTCCTCCCTCCTAGCAAGGCATTGATGCTCAGCAAGGCATTGCCAAGGCAGCAAGGCAAGACTCCACCCTCCCAGCAAGGCATTGATCCTCAGCATGGCTCCGTGTCCTGAAACATAGCTCCTCGGCACGGCATTGCCAAGGACCCCTGGACCGAAGAAGACGCCCGATCTGACAATGGGGAGTCCCTATTGGAGCGGGGAGTCGCAAAGCCAACAAAATCCTGCAGTACCGAACCAATGGATTTCTGACACGATGGCCCCCTTCGGATTCGGGGGGTCGCCATGCCACCGAAAGTCCGCGGGCGAGTAGGAGGAAGAGGACGAGGATAAGGAGGAAGAGGAAGACGAGGAGGAGGAGGAGGAGGACGACGACGACGACGAGAGACTAGGAAAAAGAGGAAGGCTAATGAGAGGGTGACCGAGCCTCGCGGGAGCCGCTCTCCCCAGCCATGCCCCCTATGTCCCGGCAGAACTTACGGATCTTTGACGCGGCAACCCGTGAGGGCCCCGTTTGGACGCGGCGGTTCGCCGTGTCAAGAGTGCTGTGCTTCTGGCTCGGCCCAACCCCAGAACTCTTGGCCTTGTGACCCCGTGGGGGGGCCCTTTGGGCATGGGGGATCGCCATGCCCCAAAAATCCGCGGGTGCCCCCGTGGGGGCCCTTTGGATTCGGGGGGTCGCCATGCCAACATTCCTGGGTGCTGGCCCAGACGAGCCGATGGGTTTTGGACATGGCGACCCCGTGAAACCTCCTTTAGGACTCGGGGGTTCGCCATGTCAAAACATCCTGGGGTCCTGGCTTTGCCGAACCCAAGAATTTTCAGCATGGCGACCTCGTGAGGGTCGCTTTGGACTCGGTGGGTGGCCAGGCCAAAAAAAATCGGATTCTGGCTTTGCCGAACCCAAGGACATTTGCCATGGCGACCCCGTGGGGGGCCCTTTGGACTTGGGAGGTTCGCCATGTCAACTGTCCTGGGGTTTGGGTTCGGGCGAACCCAAAGTTGTTTCACATGGCGATCCCGCGAGGGCCCCTGTGGACTCGGGGGACCGCCATATCAAAAATCCCATGGTTCTGGTGTGGCCAGCCAGACCCACTGCCTCTTGACACGAACCCCGCGGGGGTCCTTTTTTGAGGGGGGGCGCCAGGTCAAAAATCATGTGGTCCTGGAACTGCCGAACCCAACGATCTTTGGCGTGGCGACCCCGTGGGGGGCCACGTCGGACTCGGGGGGGTCACAATGCATAAGATCCCGAGGTCCTGGCCCTGCCGAACCCAAGGATTTTTAGCATGGCGGCCCCGTGGGGGGCCATTTGGACTCGCGGGGTCGCCAAGTCGAAAATCCTGTGCTTCTGGTGTTTTTTGGCCATGGCAATCCCGTGAGGGGCCCTGTGGACTCGGTGGAAAGACGGGCCGAAAACGAATAGGGAGCCGAAAACGA